ATACAATGCATTATTTCTCATTAAAACCAAAAAAAGTACATATATATATATATAGGAGCCTCATGATTAAATTTGAATTCAAAGAACAGGTCAAAGTAATATAAAAGAATGAAAAGAAGAAATAAATCAGATGGGCAAAAGAATATACAAAGAAACACATTAATAGAAAAAGACAAACAATATAAATGACATGAGAAAGATCAGAAAACCAGAAAGCAAAGTCAGCAAAATAATGACTGAGGACTGAAAGGAACACACAAAGTTGAAAGATGTACTGTCTCCACCTCCAACACCACTCTCCCCGGATAACCACCTCTGCACTTACCTCCAATACATCCGCCACCATCATCAAAAATAACTAACAGTATGAAAACTACTACCGCCACCTCCAACACAACCACCAACAGCACCAACACTAAAAATGCCACCATAATGACAGTCTCATAAAAGCATATTCCAAATTACACTTCCCTTGCCTCTATAATGTGGCCCTGAATTTCTTCATTTTTATCACTAACATTTAAAGAGCTTGTGTTATGTGTGAGGGATTGTAGTAAATGCTGATGGCGCTTAATCTGAACTCTTAGATTTACCATCTAGTGATTTAAGAAAAAAACCACTAAAGGCAAACAAATAACCAATCTAACAAGTCTTAGACGGAATAGAAATTCAACAGCTTCAATTGAGATAGGAAGCCTCTGTGCCCATGCATGTGTATATATATGTGTGTGTGTCTGTGTGTGTGTGTCTATGTTTCAAAAGTCACAGAGATAAAAAATAAGCTTTTAATTTCTATAATGTATCAGCACTGTAGAGGAAAATGGGCATACAGTATGCCACAAAACAGAGAATCCCTTTCGGAAAAGGAAGAGATCAAATACTTTTCCATTAATTTAAATGTAGCTATATAGAAATGCTTACAAATCAAAAGGCTCAAACTAGACATATGAGTCTCCATAAGAAAATATCCAGGCCGGGCACAGTGGCTCATGCCTATAATTCCAGCACTTTGGGAGGCCGAGACGGGTGGATCACCCAAGGTCAGGAGTTCGAGACCACCCTACCCAACATGGAGAAACCCTATCTCTAATAAAAATACAAAAATTAGCTGGGCATGGTGGCAGGCACCTGTAATTCCAGCTACTCAGGAGGCTGTGGCAGGAGAATCGCTTGAATCCAGGAGGCAGAGGTTTCAGTGAACTTAGATCTCGCTGCTGCACTCCAGCCTGGGCGACAGACAGAGACTTCATCTCAAAAAAAAAAAAAAAAAAGTATCTCCCAGTGTAATAAAGCGTAACTAAGGTTCAAAAGTACCAAAGGAGATCATGGAGTCAAAAGTTAAGAAAAGTCTGTGGGCGTCTACAGAAAAATAAACTCAGCGTCCTGGTAAGATGTGGCTAGAAAGAAAAGTAAAAGCCAGGTTATACTAACCTTGAGGTCTATTTGAAGCATGATGGATTTTGTTTTGAGAGGAATAAAATACATTATTTTGAGTAAAAATATTTTTTAGATATGCAATGTTAACTCTTTTCCGCTATATTTTTATTTTATTTCACTAATATCTTTGATAATTTTCCTATATTTTCTTATCTTTGTGGAGGGTCTATTACTTCCTATTTTGAAAGTTTTAGCAAAAAATGAAGTCTCATTAGTGAGCTGATAAGATTATAAAGCTAAAATGTTTCTCTTTCTGCTTATGCTACTACAGCCACCTATTCACTGGAATATGGATTTAGTTGTAAATTACAATTAAAAGCAAGTATGTAAACCTCTTAACATAATGAGTGATAACTATCACAAGTTTGGAATTCCAAAGTAAAATGACTTTCCATCTAAAACTTTATAATCTAACAATAATCAGATAACCATTATAATGAATAAAGGCATTGTTATACATTCAAGGGCCCAGCAATTTTAGTTCCTGAGAATCATTTTTGAAAAGCTGTAGCAAAACAGTCTTCAACAAAAAAAAGGTAAAAAAAAACGAAGAAAGCAATCTGTGAGATCTGTGGGCAGAAAATTTAACCAACTCAAAGAGGTACAGGAGAGTTGCCACTAAGAAGAAACATGGAATTGGTGAATTATTTAATGTGTGTTTTTTCTCTTTTCTCTTAGCAGAGAAGTGTTCTAATTTTCTAACTCTACAGAAATTTTCAAATTAATCAGTGTCATATAAAAGAAAGCATTTTTTAAAGAACAAGTAAATTATTAATTGAGTAAAAGAGAACATTATGCAATTCAGGAAATGGAGTCATAAGTGACTTTATTATTTACAATATTTGTACAATAATAATAAAAATACTGAAAGTTGTTTCACACAGAGTTTCTACTGTAAAGGTATTGGAAAAATAAAAGAGATAGTATTTGCAGTGGTATTGTGAGGTGATATCATAGGATACCTAAATTTTCTTCTCCTATAAATTCTATCACTAGATAGCATTAAACAATTTAAAATAAGGAGAAGTTAACATTTTGAGCACATTAGACAGATAAAAATAAGTAAATGACATAGGAAAAATTTAAAAGTTAAAATTTCTTTAGTCTGACAAATCAAGAATAACCATGTATGCCAAGGAAACTATTTTTGTAATAAGTCCTATAGTATTTTTTGGCTATTTAAGCAATATTTTTAAGCATTTTATTTTTAATTTTAAATTTATAAGAACATATTTAATATGAAGTAATTATATATTTAGAAGTTGAAGAAAAGTATTATCTCTATTTACAAAATAAAAAGCAGAGAAAACTTACGTGACTACTACCCAGGTTTATTCATCTTTGCTGATAAGACAAACAAATGAGAAACAAAAAAGGAAAGTTTGTTTGCCCGACTTGAGTGTCTAATTTCATTGACTATGTGTTGTTTTTTTTTTAAATTATAACTGAAAAATGTTGAATTAAAATGAGGAGTCCTGGGTGTTTTTTTCCTTAAGGTACCATAGAAGTGTTGATGATTAATGTAAATATAGTTAAGCGCACACACACACAGACACACACACACACATACACACATACATGCACATTATACTTCCATTGATTTCAAGTATATAGTTAGAGAAATTAGCTGCATGACTTACTGAAATTTGTTTTTTATTGCTTTGCATTGCATCAATTATCTTCATAACATTAGATGTGAATTAGTTTGATTAGTTTGATGAAATGTTCAGATTGAGACACCTCAGGCATAAATCAAAATGGATTTAATTTAATTTCCATGTGTGAGTTGATTAGAATGATATTGCAGCTAAACTTATGTAGATGAACTAGAATTTACACTGTTTTTATTATTACTTGAATAGCATTTTTAGAAAACCTAATCACTAAAAAAATATTAAGTAACATTTAAAGAGCACAATTTCCGTATATCTACTGATGGAACTCCTTGATTTATTTGAAGAATGTGTTCTAATGCTCTCATGTTTTAAATTTGACATTTTTAGCGTCGTTTCTGTATACTTGTTCTATGACAGTGTGTATATACCCTATGATGATACAAATTACAAAGTTGCAAGTGAAAATATTTCCAAATACAAGAAAATAGATCAGATTTCAGGTATTATCAGTGTTTGACCATGGTAATGTTTAAAATGCTCATTTATTTCATTTTTATTCTTAAAAATCAAAATAATATATTCTAAACAAACCTAGGATTTCAATTTGCATTAGCTAAGTAATGGAAGTAATCTTGGGAAACATTCTTTACCCTAAAGAAAATCATCATAGTGAAGATTTTCAGGATAATTTGAAGTTCCCAGAAGGCGATAAAGGTGTATTTTTTTTCCTAACTCTTAACTCTCTTCCTAGACCATAGGGCAGAAAATAAACATCCATGAATATAATTATAAGGTCTATCAAGAGAATAAATAATATATTTGCAATAAATTTAAATATTCTAAACCATGAGAGAGGTTGTTATGTAACTGTTTAATTCTAAGTCATTATAGGCAATTATTTTTTAACAAAGATCTATTTAGAAGAATAAAGATATGTTCTTCCTGAGTGTAAATATAGCACAAGTTCAGTTTCTATCCACATAATGCTCCCAGTCATATCTCTCAAGGGATTTTCATCTTAATGATAAAATGCTAATTTATAATATGTATTCTTTCTTTATGAAGCAACTGTATGACCTAATCCCTAAGAATTTTAATTAGAACAAGGCAACTTTTATTTTTCAAAATGAGGAAAATTGTGTATTCAGTGACAACATAACTAATGCTATCTTTGTTCCTGTTTGCTCTGTGTGTGTGTATGTGAGTGTGTGTGTATGTGTTTTGGTTGTTTATTTCAATGCTATTGTAATTCAATTTTTAAATTCAGGTAAGTAGTAATTCAATAACAAATCACTGAATATGATAGATAGTAGTTTCATATAATTTTATCCAATGTATTCACTTGCCTATGGGTAGAGTTATTATTATGTAGTAGACAAATCTGTACATGAGAAACACTGCCCTAAAAAATCTATAAAATATCTTAATAGCAATTTTAATTTCATAAAATATTTTTACATATAATGTAGTTATTCTAGCAATTAAAATCAATTTCTTTTTTAATTTAGATCAACAGTTGATAATTCTGAAATCCTTTTCATAGATCAATATTTAGAAAAATAAAGGAGTTGGTTTAATTCCCTTATATATATTTATACTTTCCCTTTTACTGACTGGAGGCAAATTATAAGCAGAATCATTATATCTGATGACTACTGAAAAGTTAGACCCACTCTGATGTATAAGTCTCCACTGAGACTTAAATGTTTCCCTACTAGTCAGTAGAGAAATCTAATTTTAACTCAAATCTTTGTAAGTAATTTGGTTATGATGTATCAAAGTGAATATGTTGGGTAAGGTAGGTTAGTTCTTCAGAATCAAGTTTCTAATGAAAATATCTATGAAAATATACGGATAATAAAAATTAGCAATGGTTTCAAATGTTAAAGGTAAGAATGCCTGACTCTAAACTGATGTAGCTAGTTTTATTTTGTTTTGTTTTGTTTTGTTTTAACAGCATCATCTATGAAAACAACAGGAGCATCAAATAACACTGGTATGATTTTCATTCCCAACTTTAGGATGGTAAAATGTCACTCACTTGAGTGACAGATGATTGGCAAGGATAACAAATCCATCAGAAAGTCCCATTAGAGTTCTACAACCGGCAACAGTCAGACTTCATTTAACTTCAACATATTAGCCACATTAAATTCTCATAGTCTTATGAACTTAATAGTTCATTAATCTGTTGAGCACAGCTCTATTTCGATGTGAAGTATGGGGATCCAAACATGAAACAGGCACCGATTCTGTCCTCGAGGATCTCAGAGGTTAATGGAGGAGACAGACACCTCTTTAACTGGATTTTAGTATTATGTGATGAATGAAATAATAGGAACATGTATAAAATAGAGCAGAGAAGGACAAAAGGGATATTTAGAGAGTTAGATAAATGTGTTTGTTTTTTACCATGACAATAGCAATTATAAATATAAATACAAGAGTAATCATAATGGATACTTAAAATCTTTTGTTAGATCCAAAAGCTAGAGGTACTTAAAAACATGCTTTATCATTATGGATAGTACAGAGAAAGTGAACCCTTAAGCTTTTGCTAGACACTTAATATTCAATGAGGAACACAAAATTATCTAAATCAAAGATATTTATTTTTCATATTACTGGGATGTTAAGATTACAGAATGACGTTAGTAATTCAATGGATATTTTTAACAGATTTCATATGTTAATAGTGTGAAAACTTGACTTACATAGGAATTATGATAGAAATAGAAAGTATTTCAGTTGTAAATGAGGCAAGTACCTGAAAGCCTTGGTGGTAGGTACTTGTAGAATGATGGTGTCACATTTCCAGTTGTCATGTTGGAGATCTTAGATTGGATGTGTAGCACTGTCACATGACTGATATGTAGTCTTTACAATGTCAATTATTCATTTTCTGGGTCTCTCTACCTACGTTTGAAGTCATATATTTCTCCATATAATTGTGAGAAATAAAGATCAATGCTTGTTGAAAGCATTTAGCTAGATTCTGGTACACAATGGGTTCTTAATAAGTTTACATTGACTTGAATTATGATAAAACTCTACTAGGTCTATATATTTGGATTTGCAATTAAGTGGAAAGACATATATTTTAAATTTTACACACATTTCAAATAACATTTATTCATTTTTGTGTTATGCATATTCACATATTGAAAACAAGTGAAAAGTACTTGGTCGTTGTATTTATTTTAGTGTACTGAAACTAGAATTAACCAAATTTCACCATGCAAAGTTTTCCATTTTTAATAGGCAACAATTAGTGCATATAATGTAAAAACCTATTGTATCACTTATATTTCTTTTATTACATGATTATTAACTCATAGAAATTAGATAAAAGAGAATATTATATTTGCATTTTGTTGTGGTTTAAAACATCCTCCCAAACTCATATTGAATTTTAATTGATATTGTGATAGGATTAAAACACAAAGTCATTAAGGGGTGATTAGTCTTTGAATGTTCCACCCTTATAAGTATATTAATGTTGCTATTTTAAGAATGTGTTGTCGTAAAAGTGAATTTGGCATTCTTTCTCCCCTTCTCTCTCATGCTTTCCTTCTCTTCTGCTGTCCAACATGGGATGACAAAGCACAATGGCCCTTAATGGGCAGTGCCACACTTTTGGACTTCTCGACCTCTAGAACCAGGAGCCAATTACGTTTTTATTGTTTATAAATTACCTACTCTGTGATAGTCTGTTACAGCAGCAGAAAATGGACTAAGACGCTGGTCTTCCTGGGTTTTTTGTTTTCCTTACAATTTACTAAAAGTTAACAGAAATGATCAGGTTAGGGAAAAATAGAACACAGCTAATTTGTATTCAGACATGTTCTTATGTTTCTGCTTTCATTGCAGAAAGTTTAACAAAGTTTTGACAGATAGAGTTATATGCCGTGGTTGAAGTCACAATAACTCTCTCTGCTAAGCAAATTTAACAATGTCAATGTCTTATCCTGCCCAGCTCAACAGATGCAATAACATCCTAAAATGAATTTAGTCATTTTATTTCAAATGAGAAGTTTTGAATCATATCTATTCTCCTGAAGTTGTTGAATCTTCCTTTAATTTGAAACTTCATTTTTTTATTATACTTTAAGTTCTGGGGTACATGTGCAGAATGTACAGGTTTGTTACAAAGGTATACACATGCCCATGGTGGTTTGCTGCACCCATCAATCCATCACTACATTAGGTATTTCTCCTAATGTTATCCCTCCCATAGCTCCCCATTAGGTACCAATGTGTGATGTTCCCCTCCCTGTGTCCATGTGTTCTCACTCACTTATGAGTGAGAACATGAAGTGTTTGGTTTTCTGTTCTTGTGTTAGTTTTCTGAGAATGATGGTTTCCCATGTCATCCATGACCCTGCAAAGGATATGAACCCATCAGTTTTTATGACTGCATAGTATTCCATGGTGTATATGTGCCACATTTTCTTTATTCATTCTATCATTGATGGGCATTAGGGTTGGTCCCAAGTCTTAAGTGTTCCTATTTCTCCACATCCTATCCAGCATCTGTTGTTTCCTGGCTTTTTAATAATGGCCATTCCAGCTGGCATGAGATGGTGTCTCATTGCGGTTTTGATTTGCATTTCTCTAATGACCAGTGATGATGAGCTTTTTTTCCATGTGTTTGTTGGCTGCATAAATGTCTTCTTTTTAAAAGTGTCTGTTCATATCCTTCACCCACTTTTTGATGGGGTTGTTTTTCTCTTGTAAATTTGTTTAAATTCTTTGTAGATTCTGGATATTAGCCCTTTGTCAGATGGATAGATCCCAAAAATTTTCTCCCATCCTGTAGGTTGCCTGTTCACTCTGATGATTTGCTGTGCAGAAGCTTTTTAGTTTAATTAGCTCCCATTTGTCAATTTTGACTTTTGTCATCATTGCTTTTGGTGTTTTAGTCATGAAGTCTTTGCCTGTGCCTATGTCCTGAATGGTATTGCCTTGGTTATCTTCTGGGTTTTTATTTAGGTTCTACGTTTAAGTCTTTAGTCCATTTTGAGTTAATTTCTGTATAAGGTGTAAGGAAAGGATCCAGCTTCAGCTTTCTGCATATGGCTAGCCAGTTTTCCCAACACCATTTATTAAATATGGAATTATTTTTTCTTGAATTTTTATTTAAGTTAGCATACTTTTTTTAATGCTATTGTATTATTCTAAGATAAATCAAGCATATTAAAATTTATGTGACTAACTTCTCTCAAATCAAGATAGGTGAAAGCTGCAGTAAAGCATAGTTAGGTGTTGAATTCATTTTTGAATCAATTTGAGAGGTTGAACAACTGTTCTTTCCAACGTTATGAAACTTATTCTAAATTTTTCATTTGATATTACAGGTGGATCTCATGATTTATCAATTTATAATTTCCTTAAAGTGTGTATGGATTACATCAGAGAGATTTCCAGCATATAATCAATTTCCTTGGAATTAACTTCTCGATTTTTCCATGAAGTAAAGACTTTTGTTTTACCAAAAATATCCGTAAAATAATAAAATAAAAGGATTAACCCATTCTTCGTCCAAATGGAAAACATTAACACAACATTTTCAGAATTTGATACCTATTAGAATCCAAGCTCATATATCTAGAATGTTCTCTTTACACTGCCCTAATCTTCAAGAGAACTTTACACATTCATTTTAAGACTTTTCAGTTTTAACTATTCTTAACTACCACATTTTTTTCTATATATTTTCACTGCTAAAATAAATGTTACCTATTTTACTTTCTTACATATAAACAACTTAATTTGCTTAATTCATTTATTTTCATAACTTTTACCTCTTTTTAAGAGTGGATTTTGGTTTTAAACAATAAGTCTTGGTAATACTTTTCTTCACACACGATGCCTATATAGCACTATTAATAACTTGAGATAATAACTTGGTTGCTCTATTATGATCATTATTCCTAATCCCTTATGGAACCATTAAAAATGTTTGAAAAGACAAAAAATTTATTTGGTGAGGTTGAGTAAAACATAATAAACTTTTTAGTGAAGAGATGCATCCAAGTTTGACTATGAGGCTATCAACTTTTCCAGTATTTCTAATCTACCAAAAAAAGACACAGTGTGTTTAAATTTTATTGAATGAGAGGTATAATTCTACAACTGCCGTTACTTGCTAAACTACGCTTCACTTGTGAAAAGGCAACTGCTAGTGATACAGAATCAGGGCAGGGAAATGCTGGGAGGAGAAGGGAGGGTCCCTGGTGAGGGCTCCACCCCAGGCCTATACCCACAGACCTAGGTGACTACAGGTACTCTTGTCTTTGGGCCCAAATGTTGCATTTCCCAAGACCACCCTGGCCCACCACACCCCTATCCTGTGTCTATGAAAACCTCAAGACCCTAGCGCGCACACACATAGCAGCTGGACATTGAGAGGAACACACTATTGAAGAAGACACAAGAGGCTGGACATCAAGAGGAATGCATCAGCCTTAAGAGCACACTGACAGATGCTGGCAGGCCAACAGGCCATTGACCAGAGGAATGACAAAATATTTGGCCTGGGCGGTCAGAGGACAGTCTGGCTGCTAAGTGGCTTGATACCAGGGGAATACCATGTTCCCACTCTGTCTCCCTTCTGGCTCCCCCATCTACTGAGAGCTACTTCCACTTAATAAAACCTTGCACTCATTCTGCAAGGCCATGTGTGATCCTATTCTTTTAGTACACCAAGGCAAGGAACCCTGGGATACAGAAAGTCCTCTGTTCTTGCAATAAGGCAGGGGGTCTAATTGAGCTGATTAACACGAGCCAGTTATGGTTGGCAAAACTAAAACTGCACCCTATAACACACACTCACTGGGGCTTCAGGAGCTATAAACATTCACCCCTAGACGCTGACATGGGGTAAGAGCCCCAGAGCCTGCCCGTTTGTATGCTCCCCCTAGAGGTTTGAGCAGCGGGGTACCGAAAAAACAAGCCACACCCCAATTGCCTACCTTGAGAGGGGGAAAGGGAACTTTTCTCATTTCTCTAATAGTTGTAGAATACAATGGTAATGTGAATAGATTCAAAACTGAGTATTTTTTTTAAGAGTTGAAGAGAGTAAAATGTTTAAAATGCAAAGAGCAACATTCTTCTCATTATAGCTTTGAGTGCTGTAGGAGAGTTGTTGACATTCCTTTAACAGATTAAAGATCTGTATTAAATATTAGTCATAGAGGAGTAGTAGAGTCATATTTTATTTCTGACACAGAATGCACCAGTAAACCAGGAACACAATATGCACAAGGGGGTGGTGAGTGCTCTCGGATGTCAAAGGGGTACTGTATTCCTCCCTTTTCATGCTCCTGATAAAGACATACCTGAGACTGGGCAATTTACAAAACAAAGAACTTTAACTGGAGTTAGAGTTCCACGTGACTAGGGAAGTCTCACAATCATGGTAGAAGGCAAGGAGGAGCAAGTCACGTCTTACATAGATGGTAGCAAGCAAAGAGAGGTTGTTCAGGAAAACTCCCCTGTATAATAACCCATCAGATCTCAAGAGACTTGCTCACTATCACGAGAACAGCATGGGAAAGACTTGCCCCTGTGATTCAATTACCTTCCACTGGGTCACTCCCACAACAAATGGGAATTAAAGATGAGATTTGGATGGGGACACAGCCAAACTATATCTCTCCAGCCCGGGTCCCTTCCATACCTCATGTCCTCACATTTCAAAACCAGTCACGCCTTCCCAACAGTCACCCAAAGTCTTAACTCATTTCAGCATTAACTCAAAAGTCCATACAGTCCAAAGTCCCATCTGAGACAAGACAAGCCTCTTCTGCCTGTGAGCCTGTAAAATCAAAAGTAAGTTAGTTACTTCCTAGAGACAATGGGGGTACAGGCATTGGATAAACATAGCCATTCCAAATGGGAGTCATTGGCCAAAACAAAGGGGTTACAGGTCCCACACCAGTCCAAAATCCAGCAGGACAGTCAAATCTTAAAGCTCCAAAATGATCTCCTTTGACTCCATGTCTCACATCCAGGTCAAGCTGATGCAAGAGGAGGGTACCCATGATTTTAGGCAGTTCCACCATTGTGGTTCTGGAGGATAGAGCCTCCCTCCCAGCTGCTTTCATGGGTTGGTGTTGAGTGTCTGTGGCTTCTCCAGGCACACAGTGCAAGCTGTAGGTGGATCTACGATTCTGGGATCTGGAGGACAGTGACCCACTTCTCACAGCTCCACTAGGCAGTGCTCCAGTAGGGACTCTGTGTGGTGGCTCCAACCCCACATTTCCCTTCCTCACTGCCCTGTCAGAGGTTCTCCATGAGAACCCTGCCCCTGCAGCAAACTTTTGCCTGGACATCAAGGCATCTCCACAGATCTAGGTTCCCAAACCTCAATTCTTGACTATTGTGTACCCACAGGCTCAACACCACGTGGAAGCTGCCAAGGCTTGGGGCTTGCACCCTCTGAAACCATGGCCCGAGCTGTACCTTGGCCCCTTTTAGTCACGGCTGGAGTGGCTGGGATGCAGGGCACCAAGACCCTAAGCTGAGCATAGCATGGGGACCCTGACCTTGGCTCACAGAACCATTTTTTTCTCCTACGTTTCTGGGTCTGTGATGGGAGGGGCTGCTGTGAAGACCTCTGACATGCTCTGGAGACATTTTCCCCATTGTCTTGAGGATTAAGACTGGGCTTCTAGTTACTTATGCAAATTTCTGCAGCTGGCTTGAATTTCACCTCAGAAAATGGGATTTTCTTTTCTATCACATTGTCAGGCTACAAATTTTCCAAACTTTTATGCTCTGTTTCCCTTTTAAAACTGAATGCCTTTAACAACACCCAAGTCACTTCTTGAGTGCTTTACTGCTTAGAAATTTCTTCCGCCAGATACCCTAAATCATCTCTTTCAAGTTCAAAGTTCCACAAATCTCTAGGGCAGGGGAAAAATGCTTCCAGTCTCTGCTAAAACATAATGAGAGTCACCTCTGCTCTAGTTCCCAACAAGTCCCTATTCTCCATCTGAGGCCACCTCAGCCTGGACCTTATTGTCCATATCACTATTAGCCATTTTTTTCAAAGTCATTCAACAAGTCTCTAGGACATTCCAAACTGTCTTACATTTTCCTGTCTTCTTCTGAGTCCTCCAAACTGTTCCAACCTCTGCCTGTTACCTAATTCCAAAGTCACTTCCACATTTTTGGGTATCTTTTTAGCAATGCCCCACTCTACTGGTACCAATTTACTGTATTAGTCCATTTTCACGTTGCTGATAAAGATACACCCGAGACTGGGCAATCGTCCAAAAAAATAAAAAGAGGTTTAATTGGACTTACAGTTCCACATGGCTGGGGAAGCCTCACAATCATGGTGGAAGCCAAGGAGGAGCAAGTCATGCCTTAAATGGATGGCCGCAAGCAAAAAGAGCTTGTGCAGGAAAACTTCCCATTATAGTAACCATCAGATCTTGTGAGTCTTACTCACTATCATGAGAAAAGCACAGGAAAGATCTGCCCCCATGATCCAGTTACCTCCCACCAGGTCTCTTCCACATCATGTGGGAATTAAAGATGAGATTTGAGTGGGGACACAGCCAAATCATATCAGGTACATTTCTCAAGGAAGGGCATGGCTGACAACTAGAGGTTATTTCCTAGGAACTCCTTTCAAAGAAAGGATTTAGTAAACATCTCCACTTGGATATGGCAAATTAGCTCAGACCTCACACACACACACAAAAAATCAGAAAAAAGGTGTATTGCTTCAGAGATTCATGCAAAGAAATATGTGGTCCTTCCAGTGAGAAGAAATCAGTTCCCCACAGACCTTACAGCTTTATCTGAATATAGTTTTGTCTGAATACAAGTGAGAGTTCATTAATGGAGGGGTCTTGTACAGAGAATTGTAGCCATATAATTGTGCAGTGGAAGCAGTTAGTTGTGCTTGTGGTGATGTGTGAAACTTGGGACATTTGAGAGAGTGAATAAATCCTAGAGCAATTTAGTGATCAGGTAATCTAGCACTCAAACTAAACTCTAGGAACTATTACAATTAATGATTATGATGGAACAATTAAAAAAAAAATCCCAGAAGTATCCTGGGAAAGCTGTAATCTATATGAACTCTAAATTTGAAACATGGTTTCTTCAATGCAACGTTTAAACCAGAGTAATCTTTATGAATTCATTAAAAGATATGTGTAGCAAACCAGCCCAGGAAACTTCTAAACATAGCACACACTTACTTTTGTCTTTAGAATGATATAGCCCCAAACTAGTTGCTATAGTCCAGATGTTTGTCCCATTGAAATGTTTTGTTGAATTTTGTCCCCACTGTTGGAGGCAGAGCCTAATGGTAGGTCTTTGGATCATGGAGTTGGATACTTCATGAATAGAATAAGTTCTCCATAAGTCGGGTGGTGAGTGAATTCTCTTTCTATGTGTTCATGTGAGAGCTGGTTATTAAAAAAATTCTGGAACTTCTCTCCCCTCTCTCTCTTGTTTTTTTCTTTCCCCATGTGATTTCTGTACTCTGGCTCCCTTTCACCTTCTGCCATGAGAAGAAGCACTGGAGGCCCCCATCAGAAGCCAAACAGATGTCACTGCCATACTTCTTGTACAACTTGCCAAACCAGGAGCCTAATAAAACTGACAGAAAATGTCCTCCTGGAATATTGCTTAGCTGCTGTTGCGTCTCACATGTGTGGAAAAATGAACACTCTGATACTCAAAATAGTGGATGGGAATTAGATTGGTATTCAAGTCTTGATAAGGAACTGGGAGAAATTCTTTTTTTTTTTTTTTTTTTTTTTTTTGAGATGGAGTCTCGCTCTGTCGCCCAGGCTGGAGTGCAGTGGCCGATCTCAGCTCACTGCAAGCTCCACCTCCCGGGTTTCCGCCATTCTCCTGCCTCAGCCTCCCGAGTAGCTGGGACTACAGGCGCCGCCACCTCGCCCGGCTAGTTTTTTTTTTTTTTTTTTTTGTATTTTTTAGTAGAGACGGGGTTTCACCGTGTTAGCCAGAATGGTCTCGATCTCCTGATCTCGTGATCCGCACGTCTCGGCCTCCCAAAGTGCTGGGATTACAGGCTTGAGCCACCGCGCCCGGCCGGAACTGGGAGAAATTCTACTGGTCAATGGCAAAGGACTCTAACATTACATAATGGATCTATTAAAATAGCTTTCAGTTTAAATATCGCTATAGAAAGGTAGCGGAGTGACAAGGTAGTACATCCAGCCAACATTTTAAAATACTAGAGAACTAGAATGAAACATATCACCTCAAACCAGAATATTGAATGTTACAACAAAATAAAAGAAGTGGCCAGTTCACTTTGGTAGTGGGGAACTACTGGGAGAAGAAACATGAGCAAAAGGAAACTGAGACACAAGATATTTCTTCAAAGAGATGATGAAATTTCCAAATCTTAGAGCTGGTTTGGCATATAAAATTTCACCAGGGAAGTGGGTGTTTTTCTCCAAGCAATAATTTTTAGTCTACATCATTTAACCCTGATGACTCAAGTATCAAAATATATGGTCAAAAGAATGACTTCACATATGGGAGATGGATAACTCAGGGCACAGGGAGCTCTTAGCTTTCAATTTCAGGCAACCTAATTGTAGATACTGAGAAATATAACTGACAGTTGTATTGACTTAATATAAACTACACATGGGTTGGGAAAAAATTTGCATTGTGGTTTTATGCTCCTTGTTGAGTGAACACTGTAGTAAACTCTAAATCTACTCTTTTTGCAGGAGTGCAGTTAGTTTTGAGTGATACCATTTTTTTTTAAAGACCTAAAATTTCAATAAGGAAATTATTTGACAATAATTTATCTACTGCATCCCCTACCACCACTCTTGGCTACAACATGCAGCAATTAGCTTGGTACTTTTCCAGAAATTATTGAAAATAATATATACACACACATACACACACACACACACACATATATATACACACACACATATATATTTTTAAAATTATATGTTATATATACATATTTTAAAGTGTGTATCTGTGTTTGTGGGAGAGGTTGTCTTTGTAGTTTTGGGCTGCTATAGCAAACATAGGATAAACTGGGTGACTTATAAATGAGATAAATGTATTTTTCATAGTCCTGGAGGCTAGGAAATCCAAAAATAAGGCACTGTCAGACTCAGCATCTGGTCAGAGCACTCTTTCTGTTTCATAGACGGCCGTGTTTTCACTGTGTCCTCACATGGCAAAGAATGAGGGATGGCTCTTTGACCACTTTCATAAAGAGCACTAACCCAATTCATGAGGAATCCACCTGTATGAATTAATCACGTCCCCAAAGTTTCATTTCCAAATACCATCACATGGAGGATTAGGTTTTGACATACACATTTTAGGGGAACACATACATTCAGTCTATAACAGGAATTTTAATAAAGTCAAAGAAAGAAATTGACTTGTTTTAATGTAATAAAGCACAAAGGTATTCTGAAAGGCTTTTCATCTCGATTTTTCAAAACTTTATTTCCTTACTGTGGTATACAAGACTGACCAAGAAGGGCTATTTTCCTTCACCCTTCACCCATTACTCCAACGGGCAGTGCCTGAAAAATAATAATCTGCATGAGAACCAGTGAAAAAGGAGTACATTCTGAGGATAAGGCAGTGGAGATTTAAAGTAAGGAATTAACAACAGTGAAAAAAAGAGAGAAAATGTTATTATTTTGTTTTTCTAAGGAGAAAATTATATAAACTGATCAGATAAAATTGGATACAGAAATGCAGAAATGTCAGTATCTCTCTTGCACCATCTGCTGTGAGGCACATGTGCTCTATTAAAAAGATTTCTTAGTAATAAAGTATATCTTCTCACCCTTTTGTATGCTAAGGTCTTATATAGTAAAAATGTGACACATAGGTACCTGGACATAAAATTTCATTTTCAATTTATTTGAACTCTAGTATTGGTAAGTATAAAGGACATTAAGTTGGAGGATATCGCATTACAAACATGGTTTGAGTGCTTGCCTGCTAAATGCAGTGGGAATGCAGGCTCAGTTGTTAAGTATTTAAATATATCTAAAATACACCATCTATTTAAAGTCTAGGGTTTACTTTTCAACCTCGGCAAATGTTTGCTCTAATGAATTGTAATACCTTTACGTTTCCCTACTTCTTTAATTCAGTTGTCTAGGGAGGTCATAAGCTGTTTATAAATATGAAGTCTTTTGTGAATATCCAGAATCACCAAAGCATGAGCGAAAGCAAAAATGAAAACACAATTTAATTTGTCAAGCATGCTTTTTTAACAATCCATGAATATTGCAGGAGAAATTTAATCTTACTCTTAAAGTAAATGAATAACTACAATTAATTTTGCAGTTGTTTAACTAGTCTTAGGCATTTAGTTATTTTCTGTGAAATTACATTTAAAATATAACTTTGGAAAAGTTATTTCAAATGTAATTCATGTATTATAATAAATTGAGAACTCATGCCATTTTGGAAAACTGTAGATAAATGATATCAACTTTGATTTATTCTTCTTATGGAAAGACCTAGTTCATATTTCATTTTGTGTTTTTTGTTATACTTTGAAGTTTAATTTATACCTTATATTTTAGCTAAAAAGCTTTGGTTGTAGATAAAATACATTCTTAAGAAATAGATTCTGTCTGGTTCCAAAAGCTTTTATTTACAGTAAATCTTTTTTATTATTATTATACTTTAAGTTCTAGGGTACCTGCGCACAAGGTACAGGTTTGTTACATAGGTATACATGTGCCATGTTGGTTTGCTGCACCCATCAGCTCATCATTTACATTAGTTATTTATCCTAATGCTATCTCCCCCAGCCCCCGACCCCCGACAGGCCCCGGTGTGTGATGTTCCCCTCCCTGTATACAAGTGATCTCATTGCTCAATTCCCACCAATGAGTGAGAACATGCAGTGTTTGGTTTTCTATCCTTGTGATAGTTTGCTTAGAACGATGGTTTCCAAGCTTCATCCATGTCCTGATGACCAGGGGGTCATCAGAGAAATGCAAATCAAAACCACAATGAGGTACCATCTCATACCAGTTACAATGGCAACCATTAAAAAGTCAGGAAACAATAGATGCTGGAGAGCATGTGGAAAAATAGGAATGCTTTTACATTGTTGATGGGAGTGTAAATTAATTATACCATTGTGGAAGACACTGTGGCGATTCCTCAAGGATCTAGAACTAGAAATACCATTTGACCCAGCGATCCCATTACTGGGTATATACCCAAAGGATTATTTATGGTAATTCTTAATTTATTATTTTATTAAGAAGCAGCTGCTTTAATACAAAAACACATGTCATTTTTAGTGTTAAGAAATATGTGACAATGTCTTAAGTATTGAATTATAATAAATACGATTTTAATTTTAAAATCTCATGTTTGAAGCTTATTTACTGTGGGTACTTTAAATATATATCTGTTAACTTATCTTTTATCATATTTGAGGATTTTTTAAATTGGAAGTTTATTTTTATGAAGACAGTCAATATTTGTTCTTATATTGTAGACACTGAAATACATACAAATAGACACTATTCACCACTAAAGTTTTTAAAATATACTTCTGTGGTTCTTAAACATCTCAACCTGGTGGCCATTACCTTTGATATCTGTAATATATTTCTAGAATTGCTGGAAGCTACTTCCCATTTGAATGATTCTCTTTCTTGGAGTTTCTTCTTTTCTGAGCCTGTCTACCATATAATTTCACCTTGAACTTTTATTAATATACCTTACTTTGCTTCCTTAGATGGATAGCATAGGTTTGAACATTTCCTGTTGTTGGAATTTCTTGTTTGATTTGATACGTGACTTTCTGTTTTTATTTCTAAAACACCCCTATATTTAATTTTTAGAAACCTACTCTGGTCCCTTTTTGGAAAAGATGGATGTTTGTTTCACTCTTCTCTCTTAAATGCATCTGAAAGGGGTGGGGCACTTACAGGTATTCATGTGTAAACAGTAGATATTATTCATTTATGGCATACAAAGAATCTTCTTGTTGATTAGGATGTATAGTTCAGTCAGGTTAATCCTAGTTCACAAGCTAGAAATTACACTTGGAATAGCTTTTTGAGTAAATATATATCTTGTTGAGTAAATATGGCTATTAGGAACTAGACTTGAGGTCTAGAAAACAAAATTGTTTTACTCTTTTATCTACTTTCACTAGATCGTGCTGCTATTCCAAAGGCATTTTTTATGATTTTGAATAAAAGTCATGGTATTAACATGTTTAAAATACAAGATGAGAAAGATTCAAAATGTAATCAAGCAGTAAAAAATTTTACACTGCTTGCTTAGTGAAATAACTAGAGCTTGAGGTTTCTTTCTCAATCACTTTTTAATAAAAAAGCTGTGTTTTATAAAATTTATTTTTTTCTTCCATTCTTTAGTGTGACAATTTTGGTGTAACATTTCCAAGTTTTGAACACATGAGTATTAGTGTGTTCTCTGTGAATTCATTTGTGTGACCTAGAAATACAGTTTTTCAATATTAATTTATTAACAAAATTAACAAATGTATAGCTACCTAGAGTATAATGTATTGAGGTGTTTTTTTTTTTGAGATGGTGTCTGGCTCTGTCACCCAGGCTGGAGTGCAGTGGCGCGATCTCGGCTCACTGCAAGCTCCGCCT